GGCTGTCGCCGCTGGGCCCGTCTACCTCAGCGGGCTCCCTAGTTTACTCTTTTGGAGAGTAGCATTTAGAAATGCAGGCCTGGGTGTGTGTTGGGGTGGGGAATGGCAAGACGTGGAGCGAATGTACAGCACCCTCCTTCCTCCTCTTGATCCTCACCCTCACCAGCACCCCTACAAACCAGGGACAAGCACCTAAACCCACTGTGAGGTGAGTGACTGTCGAACACCAGCAAACAAAAAGAAAGAAGGAACATGGTAAGTTCCAGAGATCCCAGAGATATTGGTGGGAGGAGAGTTCAGAGACTGTCAGTATGAGGGCTAGGAATTCTAATTAGTGTAAAATTCACAATATTTACAGCATTGCTGCATTCTGAGATGATGAGATCACCATAATAACTTTTGTGTCAGAATATGCATATGGCCATTGCAGGGACTCCACAGACCCTCTACGGCACTAGTTTGTGGGATTACCCGCCTTGCAAACGTAACTTAGCCAACCAGTGTAACCCTCTGTGAGTCTTGCTCTATAACAGATGGTTATTGTGATATTGATGCAATAGAGGGAACCATCCTCAATACCCAGGAGATTGGGGTGCCTATATTCTGAGATAAATGGCATGATCCTATTTCCTGTTGAATCATGACATTACCAGGACAGAGGGGCTCCACAAATCTCCTACAACCCTTTCTTGCCATGGCATACCCAGGTGCCTGCTATTGACAAGATGGGCTGGACTCACATTCCTTACCCATGAGGACCCGTGGAGATGGCCTTGAGCATCACTTTGGTTCTGGCTATTAGCCTTCCCCAAGCATGCATAGCTGGGGTAAATTAAAAGCTATTTTGCTTGGATGAGGCCGTGTCCCACACTCACTTACCCTTGGACCAGCCCTATAGCTGAGGGTGGTTTTGGAAGGGGACACACAGCTTTCGCATTCAGGAAGAGATGATTAATGTCAGGAAGAGGGGCCTATGTGTGCAGCTCTAGCTGAGGTCTCACTCCCTCTAAGTCACTACCAGGACACCAAGAAAAGGGAATCAAAGTTCTTCATGCTCTCTCACATTTGCACTTACCACCACTGCTTACACCCTTTGCCCTCATTTAACCATGCTATGTAGCCAAGACTGCAGGCGAGCACCACAGAGAGGGTGCTGTGGTTACTGTAAGGGCCTCTATTTGGGCCAACACTACTGACTACTCAGAAGGCAATAACCTCAGATTGCTTACTGTTACCACTTCTGCCAGTGTGACAGGCCTTTGCTAATGACACAATTAGCATCAACAGTGGCTGAAGATCCTGTGTAACCCTACAAACTAATAGGGTTGAAATACCCATTACAGAAGTAGCCACAGTGAACACTCCATGCCCTCTGCATATATACCACACATTCCTGAACTGCTAAGGTGTCCTCAGTCTTAGTAGCATACAAAGAGTCAACTTGATCCTGATGGAGTTTTCACTGTACCCAACTACTCTCATGAATTGAAAGCAAAGAAGCAAAAGAGAGATTGCATTATGGTGCCTACACAGACTGAGAACCAATCCCCTGGCACCCCAAGACACAGTTTCAGAAGTGAACTGTTACTAACAAAGCTATGTAATGAAAGTGGTAGAGAAATAGCATCACAGTATGTGCAGATGTCAATGTAGGAATGCAACGAATAAAAATAGACAGAGGAATCCATTCCCTGGAGACTCTACCTCTTGGTGTGGACCCAGAGTCCCCCCAAGCCATTTCATCGCCATCTCTCTAGACTTCTTTGTCTTGCTGCAGCCTGCTTGAAGGAGATCCTTCTCCCACCTTATTGCTATTACTTGGAGACTTCACTTCTTGGTGCAGACCCTGCTTAGCTCTGTCCCACTGATCCTCTCAGTCTTCTCTTCTAAAGCTTCTCCATTCCTTTATGTCAGCCCGTGACCTACAGAATCACTTTCTAAATAAATCAACATACTCTGTGATAAGAAACTGGACAGATAAAGTCAAAAGGAATACTCCTCAATATTATATAGCATGAGTAAGGACAAGTACAGAAAACCATCATGCTCTGAGCCAGAACTGAAAGTGCTTCCTCTGTGTCCAGGAACAACATGAGGGCACTCACTGTTACTAGACTGTCAACTCAACCAAGCACTAGAAGTTTTAGTCAAGGCAATTAAACAAACTATATGAAAAATAAGAAAAAGTTCAAGTCACTTCTGTTGGAAAATTATTTCATAAACAGGAACATTTAAAAATGTTCCTCTTAACAGTGATTAATTCAGTAAAGTAACAGGATACAAAGTCAGCACACAGTCACCAGGACCTTTTCTATATATCAGCACCATGTTGTAGGACAGTGGTCCTCATCCTTCCTCATACTGTGATCCTTTACTACAATTCCTCATATTGTGGTGACACCCAGCCTTGAAATTATTTTTGTTGCTACTTCATAACTATAATTTTGCTACTGTTATGAATCATAATGTAAATATCTGATATGCAGGATATGTGATATGTGATGCCTGTAAAAGGGTCATTTGATCCTAAGGTTGAGAACCACTGTTATAGGAGAAATGAATCAAATGCACAAATCCCATTCACAATAGCATAAAACATAAACTTAAGATAAATTCTGGGGCATAAATTTAACTAAGGAAGTGAAAGACCCCTACAATGAGAATTACAAAACATTGATGAAAGAAACTAAAATATCAAACTTAGAAATACCTACATTTTCCTGGGTTGTAATAATAAATGCTGTTAAAAATGCCTGTACCATCAAAATCCCATGTTCTTCACAGAACTGGACAAAATGCTCTGAAATTCTCATATGGAAGTAAAAATGACTCCAAATGGTCAAAGTGTAACAGATGAATGACTGACAGAAACATAGTAAGTAAAACATTGTGACATTGAGAGAAAACAGGCACCCAAAGGAATGAAGAGCCCATACTCGGGCCTATGTAGATATTCTGAGCTGCGTCTTGACATTCTGCCCCATTTACACTGGAAATGATGGTCTCATCAATAAATAGTGCAGGGGCGGGGACTGGATATCTGTGGGAATCTACGGAGGCTTTCTAGTGAGAACTTACTCAGGGTCAGAGAATCTGAGCTTGCTTTTCTTGTATAATATTAGAGGGACTAGCCTTAATATTATACATCCCAGGGGCTCAGGAGAGAGAACTACTAACGGCGAGGACTATTTTCAGGAAATAGAATCTCAGCACACAGAGCTCTATCGTCCACTTGCTTTAATTCCTCTGGCGTAACATCCTTTATACACAGCTTCAGTTCTGTTCTCATATCTAGCTCCTTTCTTGCCTGATTTCTCTCTATATTTATCTACTGTCCCCTCTAGGTTCTATCTTAATTCCTTCATATAGTTCTGCCCCTTCTAGGTTCTCATCCATCTAGTTCTTTCCCCTATCAGCTCCTCTCACATCTCCTCTCTCATCTGGCTCTTCCTCATCTTGTTCTTCCCCATCTGGCTCTTCCTCATCTTCCATCTCATTCCTCTAGTCCTCTCTTTTAGCCCTCCATTCTAGTTCTTCCCCTATCTCATTTTGTTCCTCTCAAGTTCTTACCCATCTAGTTCTTCCATTCTCTTTTCTCTTCTCTTTTCTATGCCCTGGAAGTCTCGGTATATAAAGGGAGGGTCTGAGCTAAATTGTGTAAAGCTATTAACGTCCACCTCTCCTAGGCAGTGTCTCCTTGTGGAATTTACCATAAGTCAGAAGACTTGCAAGTGGGCTGTTACCATTGTTAGTCCACCTGGGACTAACAATGGGCGCCCACCTGGGTGGTGTTTCCTGTAGTCCTTGAAAGTGGCCAAGGGAGATAATCTAATTCCAGAGAAAGCCTTTCCCGAGGCTGTTCTCCAAATACCTGGAATGTGTATGTCCAGAGAGTGATCAGTCTACACTGTTAACCCTTCTTAGGGAAAAGTCAATTGGGAAAACTATGAAGGCACACATGATTTTCATAACAGAAGACAGCTGATATATAACAAGCCAAGTAACACCAAAAACTCCTTGGGATTTGGCTTCCTCTGGAGGAATTCCCTGATTCCTCCAGGTAGTGACTTTGCCATAACCAGCTGAGTTCTTATGATATATTCCTGCGGCCCGCAGCATGCTTTACCCAGCAGGGCTGCATAAGTAGATGATTTCGTCACAGGTGTGTTTATCAAGTATGTGGAAGGGTCTATGGCTGTTTGGTGTGCTTTAATTTTTGAGAGGGGGAGGTCTTCTGCCTCTCCCCTTGGCATGTTATAAAAAAGCCCTTTTCAATAAAGGACGAGGCTGCTGGGTATTGATCCAGGCCCTCCCAAAACTATCCTGTGTTTCTGTCTTTCTTCTCATCAGCTAGGTCTCTCTTTCTATCATTTCTTAATTCCTTTTTCCTCCACCAAACAACCCTTCAAAAGGTTGCATCCCACAAATATCCACATGCAGAGGACTGTGTGAGACCAAAATGAGCCATCTTAGAAATAAGACCAAAATGCTTTCACCCAAAAACTAAGGCCTAAGATTTCTCCTTTTAGGAATAGGCCATTAGTTACTGAAACCAGTCAGTTCAGATTCCAGAAACAAGGAAGTGTAAAAGTACAGAGTCACAAGATAGTCACAAGGTAATGGCTGCCAGACTATGGAATGTCCTCTCCCTGGTTTCCAGGGTAACTGACCACAGAAATGCCCCCACCTGAGGGCAGCCAATGAGAAATGGTGGCAGGCAACCACTCCCTTAGAAGTAATTTCTAGAAGTCCCTAGAAGCGAGCCAATCAGAATTGTATCCATACTAGCATCCCTAAATGATGTAACCTT